GCTAACAGTGGTGAGGAAGTCCCCTGTCCCCAGGGCAAATGAGTAGGAAGGCTCACATTTAGACATAGCACAATACATGTATACAAGAACACATGGCCAGCCTCACTGACAGAAGAAAAGGCATTTACGAAAACATAGACAACATTAATATTCTCATCCTGTTCCCTCTGTTTCTGATCAGTGTGAAAGTCTGTTAGTGGAAAATATATACATATATAGGCATATATATATTCAATATACATATATATGTATATATTCAATATGGATCCCTACAGTAACTGGCCTTAGATATACATCTGCAGTAGCTTTGAACCCGATTGTCTCCCAGTTCCTTCATGCACACTCATACACACACAAACATCTATTGCTGGTAGCTGGTTCAGAGTGGTGGAACTTACCTTTACCCATCTCAGACCTCTGGTCCTAAAGTAGCTGGCTTGGATCTATGACCAGTCCAGTAAACAACTCTCAGACCTTCTGGTCTCAATGATACCCAGCCCACAATTAGGCCAACCCCAATACACAGCTCCCAAACCTCTCACCCTATTTACCACTAGTCCAGCTTGATGTTTGCTAGCAATTGAATACACTGACACAAGCACCCAGACAACATGCAGACACCCCAGTCTCTCCAATTGCCGGCACTCTGGTGCACGTCCCTATGACACCCCCACAGTCAAGACTGTCACTAAGCCTCCACACAAGAATACTCACAGACAGACAGAGCCCCTTCAACCAGGAAACAGAAATGGAGATCAGTGAGAAGACAGAATAGAAAGTGCTGAACAACACTTGCTGATATAATTCCAGACCCTTGCAGTAACATGAATACTGGACAACCTATAGGAAAAACAACTGAGACAGGTCCTCATTATCTGGAGCAAGGTTCCTGCTCCTCCTAGGACTATCCACCAAGATGTATTGGTCTTCTGCAACAATAAGGGCTTCTAATGACCTTTTACATCAGGAACTGAGGTTTTACAGCAAGGTTGAAGGGTTCAAATTCACTGCTAGATAGAGGAGAATTGAAAACTGCATCATGAGTTTATCTAGCCACCAACCCAAAGCATGGATATGGGAGCTTTCATTTTGTTTTGTCCCTCTATTTACATTTATATCTATTGGATGAACTGATAGTAGTAGGCAATTTTCATTTAGTGACAAAGGCATAATGTCCTAAACAAGAACCAGTTGAATGAAGCCACAGGCAAGTTATACCATGCTGTTCCTAACACATGAAAATAAAAGCATTGTTCACCAGTGTTTGTGAGACTGAGGTTTTTTGGATGAAAGAGAGCATATTAATATTCATAGGTTACAGCATGGGATTAGGAAGGGGCTTTTGTTAGCTGTCTTCGGTGTACAGTGTTATATTTGTTTTGTTGTTCTGATTATAAAATAGTTGCAACTGGGAAACACATTTCAGAGTTGTAATTCTGCGTTCTTTCACCAGTGCCTGTCTGTAGTTGCTAGCATAGACAAAAACACGAATCCTATTATCTGCCCAGCACCTTATCACCTTGCTATGCACATAGACCCACTAATTTTAAACTACTCATAGACTAAAACACTGATGAAAAGGAAGTGTCAGAAAAAGCAGAGTAGAATGAAGTAGTCAGGTTTATGACTTTTTACTGACCAAGTTGATTGAGAAGTAGACCAATCAAAAGCTGAAAGTTGATGCAAAAAAAATTGATGTTCCTCTACACAATGATGTTTTTACACAGGTTAGCAGTTAGACATTTTGTAAGATTTTTTTTTTAAACGAAAAGCCAAGCACAAATGAATAGCTGCTTCGTAGAAAAACACCTATTGTTTTTTCATTTAATTTGTTTATATTTTAAACACCGCTGGTTCAGGAAGTCTGATGAATCCTGTTTCTCAGGAGAAGAGAGAAAAACATTGTCGACTGACAGTTTTTTGGGAGGATAAATGTTGGTGCAAACCATCCCACCCTTCTCATTAACTTTTTTTCCAGGGGCAGCTGGGCAACTTATTCAATTTAATAATCTAGTAATTTTGACACTATTATAAGTAAAGTTCCCATTGTGAAAACATTTTGCAATTCCTCTCGTTCATATCTAGGCTTTTGTCTGTTGTAGGCCAGGATGGAGAGAGGCTGGTCCTACCACAGTTGTGTCAATAGCCATGAAGCCCTCATTTTCTCTATAAGGTTAAAAAAAGTAGAAGACAAAGTTGCAAGAGCAATAACTTTTCCCCACAATTACTTCTTACACACTTGCAAAACCGCTTTACAAAATTGCTCAAAATGATGGTTTGCTTCCCGTCAAAGTGCTGTAAGTGAACGATACGCTGACTGTTCTGGAAGTAAATCTAGCAAGACCTAACACTGGAAAGGGGGACTGAGAGTATCTTAGTATGCACTAAAAAAAAAGCCTGCTATGGAAAAGAAAACATGCACACCGGCTAATGGAAAGCATGAGTAATCCAATAGGGCTGCTTTTCAACAACAATTTGTTCAGCTGAAAATATTACTTCTGTAATGCAGCCAAGGTGAATGTCAGCTTAGGTTATCTGCTATGGAAGTGCCAGAGATGTGGGTGAGATCTTCCCAGGAAGATTTAGCAGACTTGCACTTAGCTGTGAGGTCCAACTTCAAGTTTTCTTTAATCATTTATACTAGCACCTTTTTTTGCGTCTTACTCTGCTTTCTGGGCAGCTTGCACACTCTCTGTTGCTCATCTTGCCTTCTCGTTCACTCCTATTGAAGCGGTATTCCTGGGAGAACATGTTGGCTAATATCTGGGGTATTTAGGTACACAGGTTTTTTTCTCTACAATCCATGGTACAAAACATAAAACATCTTAAACTGGAATAACTCTTCCATAAGATTCGTTGTTTTTCCAGGAACGAATCAGCTCTTTCCTCACCCCTCCACAGAATTAATCTCCTCTCCTTGAACTTACTGGCCATAAAAAGCTGTGAGGTTATTTTGCTTGGAAGAGAAGGAAGACAAAGTTTTTGTCTCACCAGAAACCTAGGTTCAGTCATGCTCCTGCTTCTGATAGCCTCAATCTGGAGTAGCTTTCAGCAGTACTAATGCACGAGATTAATAATGGCATAAAATCTCACCAAGATCTCATAAGATCTCACCAAGCCAATGCAATTTCATAGCATTTTCAGAAAGATGCTGCTAACAAACACCAAAAGTGTTACTGCATCTCTAACCGTGGACTGTAATCCCACAGCAATGGTCCAGCTTCTTCCTAATCTTAAATAGACACTTAAATTTTAACTGATGTGAACCCAGATTTCATAATGTTCCCAGACGTTTGGAAATAGTGTGTGCAAAGGATGTATTTCCAGACAATGTTGTTAAGCTTCAGGGAAAGCATTTTCTTATTTCCACATTTATTAGCTGTGCAAAAATGACTCTTTGCTGCGTGGTCATCCACCTGGGATTGCTGCCAAATGAAGGGAGGGGATCTTACTAGGAAAAGAATGGGAGAACTAATAGAAAAGTTAATAAAAGCTCATTATAGCTGCAACCTGGTCAGCAGTCTTGGCATTCAATTATTCCCTAAGAGAGACTGATGTGTAAAGATCATTTCCTGCTTTCTTTTGCACTCTCTCCCTCTCCTAGTAAAGAAACTGAGTATTTTTTAAATTAATTTAGTGCAGGCCAAATAGTGTTCAACATCAGAAATAGTGTATTGCCTACATTTTGATAAAGAATTTAAAGTTCTGTTCAAAAATATCTTTCAAAGGAAACTGTTAGAAGCTGATCTGACTCAAAAAGTCTTTCAAAGGAGTGAGGGAGTGTGACAAAGAAGAAATGTATTTCAGAACCAACAGAATACTCAGTCACTGTGATCGTTTACCCTTTAGTACTGGAAGGGATTTTGCAACATCTTTAACAGTATTCATACCAAAAAGGTATAAGGAGAGCCCATTAACTCTGAAATTTCATAATCATCACTTGCCATATCATGCTAATAGTTCACAGTATTACCATTTAGTTACAGTTTCTGTTCTGTAAGATTAAAAAAAATATTCATGGCATTTTTGGTCCAAAGGTACCCTCTGAGATGATTTGTTTCCATATTCAACACCCAGTGTCTAGGAGGACTTCTTTCTCCTGTAACTGTTGCCCAGTTCCTTTTTCCTATTATATCCAAAAAAATTATTGTTAATGGTATTTTTCCTTGAACCATGAAATTTCATACAATTGTTAATGATCTACAACCACAGTCCCAAGAGGGAGATAGAGGAAGGAAGTGTTCAGAGTGACAGAAGAAGTCAGTGACATATCTTGTATTAGAAGACATGTTCACCTGCCTATCAAACTGACCATTGCATAAACCCACATTTTTTCTTCACCATTTATTCTTGACGATTGAGTCTCAGGCATGTATACATGAAAAAAAAGGTAAGATTGCACAGACCACTTCTCTAGCTTTACTCCTATTAACGTGGTACTGATCATTTTGGGAATTGTAATGAAGGCAAGATTTAAAGTAAAACTCAAGCTGCACACAGACTGTTGAAGCCATGTTACCCCTCAAACAATCTCAGTAACATAATTTTATTAATCCTAGTTTTCTTTTTATGGGATATACTTCCTATTTTTCTTTTCTTGTTTCCTACCTATTTCCAAAAAAGACCCTGAACTGTTTTGTGGAAATGCTTACGAATTCCTAGAAGTTTAATTTTTGCTGGGTTTTTGTGAGAAATGGAATGGAAGAAGAGAATGGAAACATCAAAACAAGTACTCTTCAGATAGCCCAATCAAATAACAAGGTCCATTCATAACCAGTAATTAATCTAGGACCCAGAGAGAGGTCTTTTCTTGTTGTAAAACTGCATTGGGTCAAACATAGTACAGTATCTGTCACACTAGTGTACCCATATCCATCAGATAAAATGTTTAAATCTGCAATGCACTAGTCATTATATATAATAGAACACGATCAGAGGATCAGCACCTGCTGCTTGGAAAACAAACATTTCTGCATTCATGAACCAGTAGGAGGCAATTAACCGATGATAACATTTTATTCCATGGGCATTGGTTCTTAATTACAGATTGTTTTAAAATGTCTTGAGAAATTAGTGTTTATAAAAAAAATTATTTTACTAGAAATAAAGGGTTTATTGAGGAATTTTATGATCAACACAACCCTACCAGATGTCTAACATTCTTTTTTCATAGAATAAGGTTACAGAGGCAAAAAACATGAGCTAGAGATACCAGGACATAGGAGAAATCACTCCTTGTCTCTCCAACAGCTGCTTTTTGTGACTTCTCACCACTTATTACTATACTAAGTCTTATTAACTTGTAAAATATTATACGTGTAAATATATTTACTAGCTCTATTTGTAAAAAAGAGACTGTTTTTGAGGATAGTGTGCCATTCTTAACTGAGTTGGGCTCAAGCCTGCTTTTTAAGTTTGTAGTGATAACTGTTTCCTGCTTCTATTTTACTCCCTCAGCAACAGAACACAACAAATACTGCTACATACATTCCATTAATAATAACCTCAGTTTCACAGTAATAGCTTAGAAAAGAGGAATAATAACTTAAAACCAGTAAATGAAATATTAACATATTATTGGTCAAGATTCTTTCTGGGCTTAGAAAATAAAAGCAGAATATTAATACAAGTTACACATTTAAATATGATCCAATGCTCACAACCTTTTTCTGTGTGATCTCTCAGTTAAAAAAAAGCAAGACTTAAAGATCACAGCTTCTGGATACCTGTCAACGAGACCATACACTAAGATAGTTTACAGTTACAATTGAGCATCTATAAAAAGGAACATTGAACAAGAACCAATTTTAGTGGAAACTCCCTTGAATCATCAAGACATGCATTAACAAGCCAAAAAAATTCAACATATGCAAAATAATCATGTTAGAATAGAAAATAATCTGACTCAATGCTCCAAAGCTAGAAATTTGCCACATCTCCTTACTAGAGTCCACTATGAGAAAGATGTATATGTGGTCTTCTGCCAGGAGGCCCTGCAACAGTGGGCCAGCTTACACATTCTTCATGCATACCTGGGCACTTAAGTGCTTGACTAACTAGAGACTGTTCAGAAAATATGTATTTTTAAAGAGAAATAGGTGACTGAAACATCATCAGCCAACTTTCAATTCTGTTTATGTGGAGTGTCTGTTGTCCTCCCATGGACATAAACTGACTATCTCACATAAACTCTGAGATTAAAGCTTTAATGTATTGCTTTGGAATTATTCTGAGCAGAGGAAGGTCACCAACCTGCTGGATCAAGTTCAGAGGCAGGACACCAAGTTGATTAGAAGGATGGAGCACCACTCCTAGAAGGAAAGGCTGGGAGAACTGGGATTGTTCAACCTAGAAAAGAGAAGGCTCTAGAGTGACTAAATTGCGGTCTTGCAGTACCAGAAGGGAGCCCACAAGAAAGATGGAAAGGAACTCTTTACAAGGGCATGTAGCGACAGGACAAGGAGGAATGGCTTTAAGCAGAAAAAGAGCAGGTTTAGATTAGATATAATATAAAAAAAAATACTTACTGTGAGGGTTGTGAGGCACCAGAACCAGTTGCCCACAGAAGTTACTCCATCTCTTGAAGTGTTCAAGCCCAGATTGGATGGGGCTCTAAGCAACCTGGTCTAGTGGAAGGTGTCCCTGCCCATGGCAATAGGGTTGGCTATAGACGATCTTTAAAGTTCCTTCCTGTAGTGGTTTGAACCTTGTTTTCCCCAGAGACTAAGAGAAGTGGTAGACCCCAAGGGGTGGAAACCCCTGGAAGTTTTGAAGTTCTGCCCAATGGGCGCTCCTGCAGAAATGTAAACATACCACAACCAGACCGGAAAAGAAGAGTTGTAGTTTTGGTTGTTGTTGGAGAGGTGGCCATGTTGTAGAGCCACGAGGTAGGGGCTCTGAGCCCCTTGGGGCCTCTGGCCCCCTCCCAGCCCTTGGCTGGGGGCTGCAGGGACCTGGAACAGCATAAAGCTGGGCTAGGCGCCTGTAGTATGCTGGGAGATGTTTTCTCCATGGGCACAGAGCAGCAGCCGACGCTGACCAGAGAAACGGTGGCAGAGAGCCAGAGATAAGACCTGAACTGAAGGAGCAGAGAAGCAACATGCAGCACCAGAGAAAAGACTCCTGGAAGGAGAGCCGAGGAAAGGAGAGCCAGCAACTGAGAGCTACAGAGTTCTTGGGGGTAAGACTGTACCACACTCCCCCAAAACTCCCTTGAGATCCCTCTTGGAGAAGAGGGACATGGACTCCTATTTTGGAGAGCAGTTTTAGACATGCAGCACCGGAGAGAGAGGAGCTGAGAAGCTCGGAGCGTCCCGCAGCTGGACCGGGACGGCCAGATGGAATGTGGGGGGGGGCGACCTTGGCTTCCCCCCCCTTGCACTGCTGCCACGGTGGCAGCCTGAGAGACAGGGCACAGAGGCCCTGCAAGGAGCTTGAATCTCCTGGAGATACCAGACCGTCACGAAGACCCCCCTGTGTCTTCGTGATATGACGTGGTGAAACGACCTTGTCTGGGGTTACGAAGCCCACGGAAGACCCCTCGGTTGTGAGGCGATGGGGCCGGGGGAGCTTGAATACCTCCCTCGTGAATGCTGGCAGAAATCCAGCTATCAGCTGCTGCATGCATGAGAAGAAGAAACCTGCTGCCTCAGAGGATGCTGCTGTTCAAGGACTGGAAGGGATCTGTTCTTCTTTCCCTCCTGGACTTTTATTTGGAGGAGAGATCTGATCCATTGTAAATACATATGTCATGGTAGAGATAGTTTGTGATCATGTGTATAATGTGATATGGTATTTATTTGTACAGTCATTGTAATATATTCCCTTTTCCCCACTTTGAGTCTGGTGTGTTTTGTCTGGAAAAACCCATCTCACATTAGGTTGAGATGTGGGAGGGGGAATGGAGCTAGGGAATTGGATGTTGGGGCTATCTCAAACCATGACACTTCCAACACAAACCGTTCTAAAGCTAAAATCTCAACTAAAAACTGCATTGAAATTTATATGAATCAACTGTAATGTAACCTCTGATTAAACAGCACCATTACATATTTTCTTTAATTAAAAGTTTTTAAGAAAAGACAGCAATGATTTTCCCTCAGATAGTTTAAAAAACAGTCTAAAGCTCTGAATTTGGAGGGCAGCAAGAAAGTTTTATAAACAGACACCAGCAGCAAAAGGAAGACTGAGGAAAATATGGACCAGATGGTGTGTGGAGTAAGGTAGCTGATGACAAAGGATAGAGAAAAGACAGGGGTACTAATCACCTCCTCCACCTCAGCGTTTACTGATGAGACTTGTCTTCAGGAACCCCAGACGCCTAAGATTACAGTCCTACAAGCCCAAGAGGAGATTGTTGCTCCCTTGGTGAAGGAGGATCAGTTATGGAGCACTAGAACAAGCTGGACATATACATGTCCACAAATCCAGGTAAGATGTAGCCACATGTTCTGAAGAAGCTGGCCTATGTCACCACAAGACTGCTCTCAGATGTCTTGTGAAAGATTGTGAAGACCAGAGAAAGCTATGGAGGAGACAGCAAATCAGTTTTTTTCATGAATGGTCACTTTTCTTCATGAAAGGTGACCAGCAGGATCTAGAGAAGAATATGCTGGTAAAGTCTCACATCACTTCCTAGGGAGGAGATGGAGTGAATAATCCTGGAAACCGGTTTCAAACTTATGAAGGTGTTGGAGAACATAATGCTGAGTGGGAACAATTACAAGCATGGCGCAGAATTTACAACCCAGAATGAGACATTCTACACCTGAATGGACATTACTTCACTGGACTTTGCCTTATTATACTGGATATGACATCACCCCGGATTGGACAGTTTATCCCCAGTTATCCCCAGTTGTCCCCTGTTTATTATTGTACTGTTATATTGTTATCTGTACCCCAGTTGTCGTTTTTGAATTGTCCACCATATCGTCTCCCTCATCCCCTCACAGTTTTCCAATGTTTTCCCGCTCCCCTGCACCTGATTGGCCACTAGGTGCTGCAGTGCAGGGAGAGCTGCCATTGGCCTATTCCCCCGGTTACACCAAAACTCCTCCCCTCCTTGCCCGGTTACCCAATCACATTCATCCCTGAGTCGCCAGTCTTATGCTCCTCCCTAGTCCAAACTCCACCCTTGAACCTACCCTATATAAGTTACTGTTACCCCTAATAAAATCGGCATTGCTTCATGAGACCTCTGCTTTGTCCCGAACTCTTTTTGCAGTGCCGCGTCCCCATTCCTTTTCCCCGCGGGTCGTGGCATGAAGGAGGTCAGCTGGAGTAGTCAGCATAGACTCACAAAAGCAAATTCCCTGTAGTCTTCTGTAACTGATATAGTGGTTGAGTAGAGAGTAGTAGAAGTAATTTATCTCCACTTCAATTAGGCTTTCAACTCTGTTGTCTTCCTCTTAATATCCTCATAGACTTGTTGATGAGATCTGGGCTAGATAAGTGAATAGTGAGATAGATTAAGAAACAAGTGAATGACTAGTCCCACAGGATTGTGATGACAGGCACGAAGTCCAGCTAGAGGCTTGTTACAAGCTGTACACTGGGACCAGTACTGTTTGACATCTTCTTTAATGACCTGGACAACAGAACAGACTGTATCTCAGGAAGTTTTCTGATGAAAAGCCCCTGATGGATAGCAAGCTGACTATGAGGCAGAAATGTGTTCCTGGAGGAAAAAATGCTCTGGAAGGTCTTTTACGTGTATAAATACCTGATGGGATCCCTGATGGGAAGAAATGAAGAGGCAACTAGAATGAGGAGGTGGGCAAGAAGTTGGGTGGGGTTACAACTGGGACAACTGACCAGAGTTGGACAAGGGAATATTCTATATTTTAAATATCAAGATTCCCATGTGATGGGATTTCTCCCCTTCTCACTTGAAAAGCCTTGGTCTTTTTTAAAGAATTCCCATTTCATATTCTCCAACAACCTACCAAACAATCACAATCAGCGCAATCATTAGCTTTTGATTGAAAGATTTCATTGGAAAAAGCTCAGAAGAGTCTAGGACATGCAGATCATTTGAAGAAAGTGATGCCATGGCTTGTGCTGTCCGGTACTTAACTTCACTTACCTTCACCAGTTTTGTCTTTTCAGAAGGCTGATGTTACACAGCTAACACACTGTGTAACTAAGCATATACCCAGTGGTTACAGCATTATTGGTAGTTTGAGTTACATCAATATGAAGAAGCCACATTGAGAATTTGATTGGCCAGATCAGCCCATTCCTTATTCTTCACTTAAGAAAGATTAGGCACTGCATGGAGCAAAAGTCACATGTAATACAATCTCCCACCTTTTTACTTGCACAACCCTGGTAATTGCTACGGGTTGAAAGGACTCGTACATTCGTCTTTTGTGCTTCGTTTTCCACTCTAATGTCATTCTCTCATCTAATTGAAATAAGAAGTGTACAATTTGCTGTGACTTTAGTAAAGCTTTTTTACTATTTCACAAAGCATTCTCGTGGAGAAGCTGTCTTCCCGTGGTGTGGACAGGTACACTCTTCACTGGGTTAAAAACTGGCTGGATAGCTGAACCTGAAGGATTGTGGTGAATGGAGTTGCATCCAGTTGGTAGTCAGTCACAAGTGATGTTCCCCAGAATTCTTTATTAGTATCTTTATTAGTTAATATCTTTATCAATGATCTGAATGAGGATATCAAGTGCACCTTCAGTCAGTTCACATGTGACACCAAATTGGGCAGGAGATTTGTTCTGCTGGAGGGTAGGAGGGCTCTTCAGAGAGATCTGGACAGAGTGGATCAGTGGGCTGAGGCAACAGTATGAGGTTCAACAAGGCCAAGTGCCAGGTCCTTGCAAAGCTACAGCTTTGGCTGGGAAGGTGCCCAACAGAAAAGGACCTGGGAGTTCTGGTTGACAGCAGCTGAACAAGGGCCAGCAGTGTGGCCAGGTGGCCAGAAAGGCCAATGGCACAGTGGAATGTATCAGCAATAGTGTAGTCAACAGGATCAGGGCAGTGGTCCTCCCCTTCTGCTCGGCACTGGTGAGGCTGCTCCTTAAATCCTGTGTTCAGTTTTGGGCCCTTCATGACAACAAGGTGAAGGGTGTGAAGCACAAGTTTTATGAGGAGAGGCTGAGGGAGCAGGGGGTGTTTCAACTGAAGAAAAGGAGGCTGAGGAGAGACCTTATCACTACAACTACCCGAAAGTGGTTATGGCAAGGTGTGTCTTCTCCCAAGTTACAAGAGACAGGATGAGAGGAAATGACCTCAAGTTACACCAGGAAAGGTTTAGACTGGATATTGGGAAACATTTCTTCATGGAAAGCAGTCAGGTACTGGAAAGAGCAACCCATGGAAGTGACTGATTCACTGTCCCTGGAGGTATTTAAAAGACAGGTAGAAGTGGCACTTAAGAGACATGGTTTAGTGGTGAACTTGCCATTGTCAGGTTTGTGGTTGGACTTGATGATCTTACAAGTCTTTTCCAACATAAATTGTTCTATGAAAAATGACTGGACTTTGTGGACCTTTGTGTTTAGTGTAGATGTTAGTGGGTTTTGCAGTCAACACAGTTGTAGCACTATAACAAAACAATATTTTTATACTGCCTTTGACTTTTGAGAAAACAGGTCCTACTTGCCTCCCTCAAGCATCCTTGTATGAATACATGCGTGCAATTCACAGAAG